AAAAGTTTGACCTTAACTCCTTAAAAAATTAATTAATCAATCTCTCTCTCTCTCTATATATATATATATAACTGAATGTAAGCAATCCTATGTGGCACCTCTCTATGACCAGTATTCCTATTTATTTATTTTTCTCATTAAAAAATTATTGAATAAGATAAAGAAACAAATATGTTAAATATATTAGTGGCAGTTATGTTGTTTTTAATACCCCATAACTGTAGCACATAAATATTAGAAATTAAAAGAGAAATAAATAATTGTTGATAACCTATATGAGAGAATATCAAGAGTTTTCTCTGATATTTAAAATAGAGTAGATAATCACAAATCATTTCAACTAATATTGATGTGTTCATTATTGACGGAGTAGTAAAAAAATTCATGGTTTGATTAGCTCCTTTCTCAATATTTCATTCTTTTTTATGATTGTGTTTCAAACATCTTCTTTGTTTTAATTCTTTTTCTTCCTTTCTTTACTTTTTAACTTTTCAGGAACATCAAACAAGTTTCATTGCACATGCACGCATCAAAGAGAAAAAAATTCAACAACGTACCAAATAAATTTAAAAAAAAAGTCATGAAGGGAAGAAGGATAATAAGCAATGGAAAAAGAAAAACAGAAACAACAAAGCTCCTCGGAAGGAAACTTAGAGATGAAGAGAAGATATCTCAGAATGGACAATATTTCGTCGGTTTTAGCGTAAAATAATAGTCAAATCATTGACGGTAACCGTTAGATATATGAAAATTGGAATTAATTTTATGCAAGAGTTAATCTAATATCCTATTTAGTATGATATTCTATATGATCAACTAACTACAAATTGCATCATATTCTTTTTTCTTTTTTTTTTAAAGTAATCAAATTTATTAATAATAACTGAGCATATAATTATGTGTTTAAAGCTTCAGGATTAAAAAATAATAATTAAAAATCAGAACCAAAAAAACGCAGAAATAAAATTATTAGGAATATTTTTAAAGTTATTAGAATCTAAAATAGGTTAAGAAACGTACGATTCAAAATCATTGTACAATTACAAATATATATATACACATAAAAAGAAATTTTCAAAATTATTTATATTTATCCTACAAAATAAAAAAATTAAGTATTAAAATCAATAAAAATGGACACCTTAACTTTGTCACTTCTTGATGATGATAGAATATGATTTCTTTATGAAAAGAGAAGAGAGAGTATCTCATGATTCTTCAAGATATTGATATAAGAAGAAAAGTCATGTAACAAATGTTCCCTTCATAAAAATAAAAAAAAAATTAACAGGATATTGCACTATAATGTTTTCTACAAGAAAATTTGTATTGTGAAACAAAAATTAAATCATACTGGTTGAAAAACTTATAGAAAAACTGATGAGTGATAAGAAGAATTATTTAAAGAAAGAATCAGTTTAATTATTAAATTAGGAAAAGTATAAGGAGAAATATATTTTGTCAATTATCATTTGAAAGGATCCTAAATTAGTTCTCACATTATTACTTTCCATTTTTATTCTTCTTCCGTTCTTTTTTTAATTTTTTTGTTTCATTTTTCTTTATAATTT